TCCCTCATGATAGAAAGAGGGTCTCCTTCTATCTAACTTCTCTCCCCTACAACCCACATCCTCCCTGCAGTTCTTTTCACTCTCCTTATCTGAGGTCCATGAAACTGGATTATGCTGTTGAATGGGGTTTATGATTAGCTGTATGCATTTGGTGGCGGGGGAGGGTTTAAGGTGTAGGGGCAGTGGGACTCTGCAGGGGCTTCCAGGTGAAGGTGGTTGGGGCTCAGCGGAGGGGTCTGGGTGTGGAGCTGAGGAGCAATGGGGCAGGAAGCAGGGGAGGATGCTGAGCTTCCTGCAGCTGGGGGAGGTTTTGGGGGGTGGGTCTGACACAGCCCCAGCCACTCCTTGCAGAGGAAAAGGAAGTCCCAGACTCTCCTGCCTCGAGCCCAGCCGGGACTAGCAGCGGATCCCGGCTCAGGGTAGGAGCCACTGGCTGGGGTGTCCCCAGCCCTGCAGTGACCTCTCTGCCAACTGCTCTGGGTGCCTGAAACTATGTATCTGTGCAGCTAGGGAGTGGTGCGTGACTGCTGTTGCAGTTTCTCTTTGCTTCTCTGTCAGAAAGTCATTTTTCTTCGGGGAAGAAAAGAAATCTGTGAGGGACATGAATTCTGCACACACACAGTGGCATAGAACCCCACAGGAGTAATAAGTATGTGTACTATGAGCATATTGAGCCATTGCTCAACAAAGGCAGAGTTAAAGTTGCATTGGCATGTATCTTAACTCTGTATTTTCTAGTTTTCAGAGGTCAGAGTTTTGCTAAACTTGGCGTGCTGGAAGGGTATGAGATACCTCTGGGCAACCTTAGTTCTGCATTAACAAAGTTGGTTTTTTTTTTTTTTGGTCAGTGAATTACTTAGGAGTGGGGGGTGGTTGTGTTTTTTTGTTTGTTTGTTTGTTTGTTTGTTTGTTTGTTTTTAACAGCAAGAAATTTTGTTGGTAAGAGTGATTATTTAGGCATTTGTAGTTCACACTTTAGGTTTGCAGTTGATACAATGCTATGGCTAGGTAATAACAAAAAGACTTTTTCATCAGTGGATCTCAAAGATCTTTACATCATTACACCATTTTCAGATGGGAAATTGAGTCTCAGAGGTGTGAAGTGACTTGTCCAGGTTCACCCAGCAGGCCAGTGGCAGAGCTATTAATTAACTCCCAGTCCAATGGTCTTCCCACTAAACCGCACAGATGCTAGGTAATTCCTAATTGCCACTCCCAACCCCCAGTACTTTTTGTTATCATGGATGGGGATTATGGTTATGTTGGGAGTGTGTGGAGAGTCAGTGAGAGAAATCCCAGACATGGTCTATGTCCCCAAATCATGGCAGTTTTTAACTAAGCGCATGAGAGAAAACTGGTGTGTCTCTTCTTCTCCAGTCCTCTCCCCCACCATTCCCAGTAACACCTTGGCTCGAGAAGGGTGAAACGTACATTTCTGGCTCGCCCTCCTCTTCCTGTTCCATTAAGCCATTCATTGGTATTGTAAAAGCCATTAGCATGTAATGAGCCATTGCTCTTGTGCTGTCTCCTGCCCTATGCTGCTGCATACTCATATCGTAGGCGGTAGTTTACTGGAAAGTTGTACACCTCCTTGGTTATGTAGCCTGCACTGCACACTGATCTGGGCCCCTCACTTCCACTACCTGTCCCCAGCTGGGACTCCTGCCTCTGCCTCTGCCAACTTCCTCAGGCCCCCAACCCCCCCCCATTTTGAAACCAGAACCCTCCCCTATACACTCTGGCCAGTCTCCCTCTCCCAGAGGAATGCTGTGCACCGTAACTATTTATTTCCTGGATTTCAGATGTTTAAATGTGTTGGCTTAGGATGTCCCCCCTCTTGTGCCTCCCAGATCCTGGCTGACATAGGGGCCAAGGATAGGGATTCAGACAACCTGATAGGGGCAGCGTCTCTTAGATCTCAGGACACATAGGGGTCAGGGAAAGCCCGCAGGGGAAAGGCTCCCCCAGCTCTCAGCACACACAGTAGGGGAGAATTCAGGGCTGACATACCCCCTCTAATCCCCCAAGTTCCCTGCCACCACTCCCATCCTCTCCCTTCTCTACCCTACACTCCCATAAGGCACAGCAAATTTCAAGACAATCCAGGAATGTGTGTGGCTCGTGGACCTCTTAGAAAAGTTGTCCTTTAAACAGAAAACTCTTCTAAATCTTAACTACAGCCGAGCTGGTACTTTGCTATAATATTGTATGAAATTTAATCATCAGCAACAATTTTGGTATATCCAGATCCAGCACAGAATAATCCTGAAAGTTTAGGAAGCTGGGAGAGGTGTGAAGTGGCCCATTCATTTCTGTGATTGTCTTGGCTGAACAAGAACATCGCATACAGATGAATATAGCCAGAAACAATAGTTCTGAGATGACAACTGCTCCAGTCATCTCTGTGGATGTTCCCATCCCCATCTCCCCAGTGCTCGAGAAACCTGTGATGTGCAGCAAGTTTGCCTGTTCTCAACTTCTCAGTAGCAGTGTACTCTTGATGCATGCTCCCAGCATACATGTCCTTAGCTTCCTACCCAGAGGGCAGGGCTTTGCCAGATGCTGGCTCCCATGGAAGGCAGAGAGTGGGGCTCTGACCTCCCAGAGGGAAAAGGCACCCATATCCCATGGGGGGACAGGGAGAGGGGCCAAGACACCCCCAGAATGGCAGGCCTCACCCAGACTCCAGCTTATATGAGGGGGCATAGAATCATAGAATATCAGGATTGGAAGGGACCTCAGGAGGTCTAGTCCAACCCCCTGCTCAAAGCAGGACCAATTCCCAACTAAATCGCCCCAGCCAGGGCTTTGTCAAGCCTGACCTTAAAAACCTCTAAAGAAGGAGATTCCACCACCTCCCTAGGTAACCCATTCCAGTGCTTCACCACCCTCCTAGTGAAAAAGTTTTTCCTAATATCCAACCTAAACCTCCCCCACTGCAACTTGAGACCATTACTCCTTGTTCTGTCATCTGCTACCACTGAGAACAGTCTAGATCAATCCTCTTTGGAACTCCCTTTCAGGTAGTTGAAAGCAGCTATCAAATCCCCCCTCATTCTTCTCTTCTGCAGACTAAACAATCCCAGTTCCCTCAGCCTCTCCTCATAACTCATGTGCTCCAGCCCCCTAATCAGTTTTGTTGCCCTCCGCTGGACTCTTTCCAATTTTTTCACATCCTTCTTGTAGTGTGGGGCCCAAAACTGGACACAGTACTCCAGATGAGGCCTCACCAATGCCAAATAGAAGGGAATGATCACGTCCCTCGATCTGCTGGCAATGCCCCTACTTATACAGCCCAAAATGCCGTTAGCCTTCTTGGCAACAAGGGCACATTGTTGACTCATATCCAGCTTATAATAATAAAAAAAATAATAATTAATGGAGATATCCCATCTCCTAGAACTGGAAGGGACATTGAAAGGTCATCCAGTCCAGCCCCCTGCCTTCACTAGCAGGACCAAGTACTGATTTTGCCCCAGATCCCCAAGGGCCCCCTCAAGGATTGAACTCACAACCCTGGGTTTAGCAGGCCAATGCTCAAACCACTGAGCTATCCCTCTTGTCTGCTGTAACCCCTAGGTCCTTTTCTGCAGAACTGCTTCCTAGCCATTCGGTCCCTAGTCTGTAACAGTGAATGGGATTCTTCCGTCCTAAGTGCAGGACTCTGCACTTATCCTTGTTGAACCTCATCAGGTTTCTTTTGGCCCAATCCTCTAATTTGTCTAGGTCCCTCTGTATCCTAGCCCTACCCTGCAGCGTATCTACCACTCCTCCCAGTTTAGTGTCATCTGCAAACTTGCTGAGAGTGCATTCCACGCCATCCTCCAGATCATTAATAAAGATATTGAACAAAACCGGCCCCAGGACCGATCTTTGAAACCGGCTCCCAACTAGACATGGAGCCATTGATCACTACACGTTGAGCCCGACGATCTAGCCAGCTTTCTATCCACCTTATAGTCCATTTATCCAGCCCATACTTCTTTAACTTGCCGGCAAGAATACTGTGGGAGACCGTATCAAAAGCTTTGCTAAAGTCAAGGAATAACACATCCACTGCTTTCCCCTCGTCCACAGAGCCAGTTATCTCCTCATAGAAGGCAATTAGGTTAGTCAGGCATGACTTGCCCTTGGTGAATCCATGCTGACTGTTCCTGATCACTTTCCTCTCCTCTAAGTGCTTCAGAATTGATTCCTTGAGTACCTGCTCCAAGATTTTTCCAGGGACTGAGGTGAGGCTGGAAGTGGGGGGTCAGATCCAATTAGATAGGCAGAGGCCCCTCAGATCTTGGCACAGGGGAGGCAGGGGGAAGGGCTTAGAGACCCCCAGAGGGGCATGGTTCCCCATATCCTGACTCTCAGGGAGTGGGGGCTCAGCCCTCTCAAAAGAGGCAGCTCGCCTAGATCCTGACACACTTGGGCGGGGAAAATATGGGGGTAACAAGTGCCTCTGCCTGCAGAGTGTAACCACTGAGTTTGTGGGTGATGGGTGTGCAGTTGAATGGACACAGCTCAACTCTTTTCTGCTAATAATGTTATGATTTTCTTGCTCCTCCAAAGGCCTAGTGTGTGACAAGCACTGTGGGGATAATTCTGAAGCGATTGAGACCCCAGAGTGATGATCTCAGCCATGGCTTGAGCCCTATCCTTGGGCAACAATACATTGATTAAAATTAACAAGCCTTCAGGAAACTTTTTTCCCTACAGGGGATAGTATTCTGGGAACCCTTGGTCAAATGATCACCAATTAATCTGAGTCATTAACTCTACCCCTGTACCACCAAATGAAGCACACCAAATTTCAAGGCAATCCAAGTAACCATGCAGGTTTTAGAGCACTTCAAAGAGTCAAGCTTTAAACAGAAAGCTGGTCTAAACCTTAACTCTAGCAGACCTGATGGTTTGCTATAATTCCTTCCTGCAATGATGGTGTTCAGTCCCTTGCACTTGGTATGGGTTTTCCATGAACACTTCGTAAATTCTCCAAATTTCCTTTTCAGGCTGGTGATCCAATCCAGACCTACTTTGCTGCATCATCTGTACTGAGCACACTAAGACAGCCAGTGGGAATGGGTGCCAATGGACTTTGTATTGATGGGAATCCTGCTGGTGAGTGTGGTGATGGTAGCAGTTCCAGTTTTATTGAGGATGACATTTCCTACTGATATTTTTTCATGTCTCTTGTTCCCTTTTTTCAGGTTTCCTGGAGAGTAAAAGCACAAGCTGTACTCGGACCTTCACCAACCTGAGCAGCAGCTGCACCACTGATCCTACCCTGGACGCAGCCTCATATTACCGTGACTTCACTATACTAAAGGTGCAGATTGTCTTCCCCACCCTCAGCAGCTTCTTGTACTGTGACTTGACATCCTGTTCTCCTGACATCAGCACTGTTTTGCCACTGCCTCTTCAGCTAATTTAGCTATTACTAAAGTAGAGCTCACTTGTGTGCAATTCTCAGGGTCTCCCAATCACCTTGGCCTGCCTTTCAGTACAGAAACTGATTTTAATGAAGGATTGTTTATTACTGTGAGCAGCCCATCCATTCCATTCTACGTTCCTACAGAACTCCTGGATCAAGAGCATCCTGTCTTGGTGACTTGCTGCTATTTAATGAATCATTTGTTTCTTCACCATTTCTTTTCACCTGTTCTCTTCAGGTAAATAAGATATCTCTTCACAACTTTTGTGGTGAAGAAACAAATGATATTTAAAGAATTTATTGTGGTTTAACGTAACATAAAAATGGCCCTACAGGGTCAGACCAAAGGTCCATCTAGCCCAGTATCCTGTCTTCCGACAGTGGCCAGTGCCAGGTGCCCCAGAGGGAATGAACAGAACAGATAATCAAGTGATCCATACCGTTGCTCATTCCAAGCTTCTGGCAAACAGAGGCTAGGGACACCATTCCTGCTCATCCTGGCTAATATGCTCCATGAATTTATCTAGTTCCTTTTTGAACCGTGTTATGGTCTTGGCCTTCACAACATCCTCTGGCAAGGAGGTCCACAGGTTGACTGTGCATTGTGTGAAGAAATACTTCCTTTTATTTGTTGTAAACCTGCTGCCTATTAATTTCATTTGGTGACCCCTAATTCTTGTGTTCTGAGAAATAGTAAACAACACTTCCTTATCTACTTTCTCTACACCAGTCATGATTTTATAGACCTCAATCATCTCTCCCCTAAGCCGTCTTTTTTCCAAGCTGAAAAGTCCCAGTCTTATTAATCTCTCCTCATATAGAAACTATTCCATACCCCTAATAATTTTTGTTGCCCTTTTCTGAACCTTTTCCAATTCCAATATCTCTCTTTTGAGATGGGGTGACCACATCTGCACACAGTATTCAAGATGTGAGTGTACCATGGATTTATAGAGAGGCAACATGATATTTTCTGTCCTATTATCTATCCCTTTCTTAATTATTCCCAGCATTCTGTTCGCTTTTGTGACTGCCGTTGCACATTGGATAGTTCTCTGAAAACATCCACTCACAATGACTCCAAGATCTCTTTCTTGAGTGGTAACAGCTAATTTAGACCCCATCATTTTATATGTATAGTTGGGATTATGCTTTCCAATGTGCATTACTTTGCATTTATCAACATTAAATTTCATCAGCCATTTTGTTGCCCAGTCACCCAGTTTTGAGAGATCCTTTTGTAGCTCTTTCGCAGTCTGCGTGGGTCTTAACTATCTTGAGTAATTTTGTGTCATCTGCAAATTTTGCCACCTCACTTTGTTTAGCCCTTTTTCCAGATCCTTTGTTAATTTGTTGAGTAGGACTGGTCACAGAACAGACCCCTGGGGCACACTACAATTTACCTCTCTCCATTCTGAAAACTGACCATTTATACCTACCCTTTGTTTCCTATCTTTTAACCAGTTACCAGTCCATGACAGCACCTTCCCTCTTATCCCGTAGCAGCTTACTTTGTGCAAGAGCCTTTGGTGAGGGACCTTGTCAAAGGCTTTCTGAAAATCTAAGTACACTATATCCACGTTTTGAGTCTTTTTTTCAATCTTCCCTCATAGGTCATGTTTTCTAGACCTTTCATCATTTTTGTTGCTCTTCTCTGGGCTTTCTCCAATTTGTCCACATCTTTCCTGAAATGTGGCACTCAGAAGTGGACACAATCCTCAAGTTGAGGCCTAATCAGCACAGAGTAGAGCAGAAAAATTACTTCTCGTGGCTTGCTTACAATACTCCCGCTAATACATCCCAGAATGATGTTTGCTTTTTTTGCAACAGTGTTACACTGTTGACTCATATTTAGCTTGTCATCCGTTATGACCCCCAGATCCCTTTCCGCAGTACTCCTTCCTGGGCAGTCATTTCCCATTTTGTATGTGTGCAGCTGATTGTTCCTTCCTACATGGAGTACTTTGCATTTGTCCTTATTGAATTTCATCCTATTTACTTCAGACCATTTCTCCAGTTTGTCCAGATCATTTTGAATCTTAATCCTATCCTCCAAAGCATTTGCAACCCCTCCCCGCTTGGTATCATCCGCAAACTTTATAAGTGTACTCTATGCCATTATCTAAATCACTGATGAAGATATTGATCAGAACCAGACCCAGAACCAATACCTGCGGGACCCCACTGGTTATGCCCTTCCAGCTTGACTGTGAACCTCTGATAATTACTCTCTGGGAACAATTTTCCAACCAGATATGCACCCACCTTATTGTAGCTCCATCTAGGTTGTATTTCCTTAGTTTGTTTTTGAGAAGGTCATGCGAAACAGTATCAAAAGCCTTACTAAAGTCAAGATATACCACATCTCCCAAAATCCTTTTTTGTGTCACAGTTTTCCGAAGTATAGTCTGCTATTCTGGAAGTGCATCCGAAGAAGTGGGTTGTAGCCCACGAAAGCTTATGCTCTAATAAATTTGTTAGTCTCTAAGGTGCCACAAGTACTCCTGTTCTTTTTGAGGATACAGACTAACATGGCTGCTACCCTGAAACCTATTCTGGAAGTGTGATTGTAACAGGGATCTGCCCAATTTTGCTCTGGTGCCTCATTTTTCCTTAATCTCCCATGGGTTTTTCATCTTCAGCAGGTGACATAGCTCTCTGGCCAAGTCACAAAAAGATCATCCCTTTAAATCAAACCAAACAAACACACATCTTCCATCCTAGTCTCACGAGACACAGCCCTTTCTCCCCTAGGGTCTGTTTTCTTTTCTGCACCACACTCTTTCAGCACTGCACTTCTCTTGGGCTCAGCTCTGGCCCTCCTGGGCTCTTAGTTCCTTCATCCTCCCTGTGTTCAGAGGAGTCACCACATGACCTTGCTTGATGGCAGCATGAACAGTCTGTCCATCCTCTCCTTAATATTAGGGGAGATTAAGGGAAACTCATAGGGTGGCAGCATAGGGGTAACCCACATCCATCGTTGGTTATGGGTTCCCAGCCTTGGGTATCCTGAACAACCAGGCTGTCTGCCCAGTCATCCCAAACTTCCCTGTCTTCCTCCTGTGTTCTCCCAGCCTGCCATCCTTCTCTTTATAGAGCACTGACTCCCAGGTTTATTTTTTTCTGGAGTCCTCCCACCCACTCCTGCTGAAGCATCCATTCCCAGTGCCACTCTCTCTGGAGTCTCTCTGATCTGAGCTTGCTCTGATCACAGGTCACTAGCTTCCTTGAAGGCCCAGTTTAGTTGCATCAGCTTTGTAACATGACTTCAGCACTCTCTCCCTTCAGTTGGGGAGGCAAGCTAAGTGTGGCACAGGTGCAGCTGAGGTCCAACCCACGAAAAAGGTCAGCTCACCCTGTAACAGTGACCTACATTCTTTGTTCCTAGATGTATGACCTTGCAGGTAGCTGTATTAAAACACATTTTGTTTGACAGGGCCCAGTTTACCAAATAATCCAGATCACTGTGTATGACAGCCCTGTCCTACTCATTATTACCACTCCACCAATCTTTGTGTCAACTACAAATTTTATTAGCAGTGATTTTATATTTACTTCTGGGTCATTGATGAAAAGATTGAATAGCATCAGGTTTCAACCGATTCTGAAGAACCCCACTAGAAACACATCCCCTATTGATAACTGCTTTGAGATATGTCAGCTAGCCAGCTCTTAATCCATTTAATATGTGCTGTACTGATATTGTATAGTGCTAATTTTTTAATCAGAATGTTGTGTGATGCCCAGTCAAGTGCTTCACAAAAGTCTAAATCTATTACTTCTATGCAGTTACCTTTATCAACCAAACTTGCAATCACATCAGATAATTAAATCAGGTTTGTTTGTCAAGAGCTGTTTTCTATAAAACCATGTTGACTGCATTAATTATATTTCCAGAATTTGATTGATTTGATATCAGCTTTTCAGTTATTTTTCTTGAGGTTGATGTTGGGCTAGCTGGCCTATTTTACTAGGATCCTCCTGTTTTCCCTTTCTGAATATTGGCACACCATCATTGCTCTTCTATTCTTTGGGAATTTCCCTGGCAGTCCAAGATTTATTAAAATGAATATTGGTCTAAATATGAATATGCTATTGAAATGGATGAGACACTTTGCTCCTCCCAGAATTCTTTTTTCAGGATGTCTGCAGAGTAGAACAGATGTCACTGCATCAGTTACACTTAGTTTGTATTTTCAAGGTTTACTTCACAACCATGGGACCTAGAAAATTACATTTTCGTAAATGAAAGCTGAGGTTCTTCTGTAATCATCTGATGCCAGTTGCAGGAGCCCTGGGTACAGGCCTGTAGTACCTTAATTTGGCTTTGCACACAGCAGGTCACTAGCAGAACCAGGAAAACAACATAGGTCTCCTGGGTCACAGACCAGTGCCGTATCCACTAGACCATACTTCTAGATTCTAGAGCACATAGTTGGTTGCCTATTCCACAGCCTTGGAATAGGAAGGGCTCTGCTTAACACCATATTATCTAGACACTGGTGTGTGTGATCTCCTAGTGACTCTGGGCACTTACAGTTAAAACACATCTGTTGATTTTTCTTTTCCAGGTCCCAGTTAACATGACCGATGTCCAGCTCATGCAGGTGAGACTCTGCCAATGAAAATAATTCCTGCATCTGAGATAAAGGGAATCCTGAGTCTTGAGCCAAGCACTTTGGGGGAATGGAAAAGTTCTGTGTCTGAGACAAGGCTTTGGAGGAGAAAGTCACATTGTCTCTGGAAAAGGAATATGGGGAAGGTTTCAGATATGAGATGGGGTATACTCTTAAGGTGGTGTGTGTGTGAGTGAGTGAGTGGAAGATCTTTGACCTGGGATGGGCAGAGATGGAGTAGAGAGCAGGCCCTGGTTCTGGGATAGATTGGGAGTGGAGGGGCAGGTCACAGACAGAAATGTGGTTGAGAAGGGAAAGGACTCAGACTTGGAAGTGGTTTGGAAAGAGGAAGCAGGGGAAGGCCCCAGTTCTTCAAGTGATGATCCCTATGGTTTTCCACACATAGGTACACATGCAGGTCTGAGTCCGGAAATTCTTCAAAAGCAGTGTCAGTTGATCTGCACATGCAGTAGCTCTCCTTGTGCTCCCGACCAAGGATATCTGAGGCAGGGCGGGTCAATGCCTCTCCAGTTCCTTCTTACTTCTGCATAGCCTGAGTTGGAGTCATGTCCTCCTTCACTATAACCTGTAAAGTAGAAAATATTTTTAAGTAGTTTATATTGTAGTTTAGTAGTTTAATTTTGTAATAAGTTTAGAGTAGTTTTTTCCTCCCCAGTTGAGGGAAACCATCCCTGGTTCCGGGATTATGCCCAGAGTCCTGGGATTCAAGAACTGCGTCTCCTGCCCTTGCTCCTTCTCCATCAATGATGAACATCAACAGTGCTTGTACTGTCTGAGTGCAGCACGTATCTCTGCAAAGTGCAGTATCTGTCGATACTTACCACCCAGAACTTGAGAGGCACGGGGGCTTTGCCTAAGAAAGTACCTGATGGAGGAGGCTATGAGGCCCAGGAGAACCCCCTGTATGTCAGCCTCAACCAACCAGCCGTGTCCTCCAAGCATGTGCCTTGGAGTGGAGCCTCTAACACTGAAGCCCAAGGGCTCTTCCTTCAGGGCTCCCATGAAAGTAGAGAACACTCTGATGGGCACAAGGACAGAACCATGCAAAGGACAGTCAATAAGAAACGTGTTTCCTCCCTGAGCCGGTCCAGGTTGGGTGAGATGTCATGTCTCGCTCAGACCCAATGGAACTAGCTCTGCCAAAGACCCCCAGGTTGGAAGGCAAGGTGGGCAAAAAGAGAGATCTGCCGGTTCTGAAGGTGGTACCGAAGCGTAAAGCACAGATGCCCACCGGTTCTATGAGTCCTGGTCCACACCAATTGTCAGCACCGCCTTTTTCATTTAAAGACCATTCAACTGCAACAGATGAGCTGAGTCCTTCAGGTGTAACTGCTGGAACTCCTCAGACCCTAGGCTGTTACTTATGTAACACTGGAGGATATATTCAACTTGGTGGTGGTACAGGTGACTGCAGACAGTGCTTGGTGGCACTACCAGAAATTCACTCTGGCAGATAAGGGCTCTGAGAGACACGACCTCCTGGTAAAGAAGGTCTTCTCCTCCACAGGTCTGCAATTTTATGTCATTTAACGACCAACCTTTGTTAGCGAAATATGACTTTAATAACTACTCCAGGCTCGCGGACTTCAGAGATAAACTTCCTGTCGCCTTTTATTTATTTAAAGTGAAATGTATTACATCACCATGGGTTCGTCTCTGGTTGCTATAGTGAAACTCAAGGAGCTCAATCTATTTAGATTAACAAAGAGAAGGTTAAAGGGGTGACTTGATCAGTATGTAAATACCTAGGGGGGACAGATATTTAATAATGAGCTCTCCAGTCTAGCAGACAAAGGTATACAAGTTGAAGCTTGAGAAATTCAAACTAGAAATAGGCATAAAACTTTAATAAGGCTGTTGATTAGTCGCAGTTAACTCACGTGATTAACTCAAAAAATTAATCGTGATTAATCGCACTGTTAAACAATAGAATACCAATTGAAATTTAATAAAATATTTTTGGATGTTTTTCTACAATTTCAAATATATTGATTTCTGTTGCAACACAGAATACAAAGTGTACAGTGCTCACTTTATATTATTTTTTATTACAAATATTTGCACTATAGAAATGATAAACAAAAGTAATAATATTTTTCAATTCACCTAATACAAGTACTGTAGTGCAATCTCCTGCAAATTGTCTGAGCGATTGGCTGAACAAGAAGTAGGACTGAGTGGACTTGTAGGCTGTAAAGTTTTACATTGTTTTATTTTTGAATGCAGTTATTGTACATAATTGTACATTTGTAAGTTCAACTTTCATGATGAAGAGATTGCACTACAGTACAAGAATAGCAAGAATTCCTGCCTCTATAGCATCCCTATCTGATGTCCCAGGGCAGCAACTTGGAGTTCTGTTCACATGTTTGCAACATACTACGCTCTAGGTCAGGCATCAGCTGTGGATGCAGTGGTAGGAATGGCAGTATTGCAAGCATCTTTGTTGCCAGCTTCCTCGCACCTTCCTGCAGTCTGAACATTGCTTGCCAATCACCCAAGTATGGAATACACAGAGGGACCATCACTTGAAAAAGAAGGGGAGGTTACTTACTGTTACTGGAGGTTCTTCGAGATGTGTGGTCCCTAGCTGTATTCCACTACTTGCCCTCCCTCCTCTCTGCTTCAGATCCTGTTGGATTTGTAATAAGAAGAGGAACTGGAGAAGTGTTGACTCTTATACCCTCAGTCAAGACTACAGATAGGGACCACATATCTCTAAGAACCTCCAATTATGGTAAGTAACCTCCACATCAGGGATGGATGGTCACACTCCACTCTTTACTGGATTAACTGATTTTTGATTTTTGCTGCCTCCAGGTGAGAATCACCCCTGTCACACAGCCTGGAGCTCCCCAGATGGATGGCAACACCTGTCACAATGTTGTTTCTGAGGTACCTGAACCACCTTTCCACCATCATTGAGGCAGTGCAGGGCTGGAGTTAAGGCCCCAGGTCCTTGCCCTTTCACTGACTGTCCTCTGTGTTGGACTTGCAGGTGATCTATGAAATAGAGTTCAATGGGACCCATGGAATCCAGAATGTCTCTGTCCAGCTTAAAGTGACCAGTGTCTCTGGGAACTCTCTGCAGCAGCGGTTCACACTTCAGTTCTGGGTCAGTGCCCTAGTTTCACATGGATCCTTGCAAGGGCTGGGTTTAGTGTCCTGACTTCATTTGAGTCCTTGAGTGAGGAGATCTGGTTAGTACCATGAGAGCATGTGGCCCTTGAGGGATCAGGGGTCAACATCCCAGTCTTATACGGGTCCTGTGGGGTATTGGGGTCAGTGTTTTGGTCTTGGGTATGTCCTCAAGATAGGGACAGGTGAGCTGAGTGCCCTGGTCTTATGCAGGGTTGGAGGGGGTTGGTGTCCTGCTCTTGGATGGTCTCTGGGGGAGGGGAGGGAAGAGATCAGGGTCAATATTTTTGTCCCAGGCATGTTATGTAAAGAGAGGATAGGAGGTAGTGCTGTATTTCACTTGTTCTGAGCAGAGCTGCTGGTGTCCTTTCCAGATGCTACTTGACCTGTGCTCTGGCAGTGGGGGATGGGAATTGCCCTGAAGGGTCAGTGACCTTTTCCATCTCCTTAGGTTCTAAGGCTGGAGGACAAAGCTGGGAAATATTAAATCTGTCTGTAAGTTAGTACTGGAGAGGCCCACTCTTGTGCCAAGTGGCTACAGTATAATGTGGGAGGTGGGAGGTTGTTTGGTTGACTCAGAACAACAGACGCTTGTTGAGGTAGTCGCCAAAACCCCTCTCCAGTGAGGACAGTGTAATAAGTGTGTGTTTGAGGGGGAGAATATCAGTGACTCAAAAATTCAGGGCTGTGGAAGGGTAAGTGTGAGTTCTTCCTTTGAGTATCCTCTGCATATTCCCATTCATGGGAATGCTCTGACCAGAGCAGCCTGAACGGTAAAATTCTATTAGAAGTAGCCATTGGAGCATCCACGCGCCTCCCTTGCTCGTCCCACTTCTTTCCCCCCCTCCTTCTCCTTCCCCAATTCCAGACATTCTAAGGCAAGGGTTTAAAAGGAGCATGGCGCTCCATTGCCTCAGTGCCTTCAGCTGTGGCCAGCTGGACGGTTACATTGTTGCTATAGGATCCTTTCAGAACCTATAAGTAGATAGGCAGTTTGTATAGGTTAGTTGGTACATAAGTTCACAGGGTTACACAAAGGATAACATGACAGATCAGAAGGCTAAGAAGCCTGGATTCAAAAGTTCTTCTTCGAGAGATGTCCCTGTGGGTGCTCCACTCCAGGTGTTGGTGCGTCCCTGCGCCTTCGCTCGGAGATTTTTCGCAGCAGTACTCTTACTGGCCACGCATGCGCAGAGGCTGTCCCCGCTGTGAGTCTAGGATAATAGTACGCATGCGTGGCCAATCTCCTCAGTTCCTTCTCTACCGTCCCCAGCCTGAGACGGAGCTCAGCAGGCTCGTTAGGAAATCCCTCACTCTTGCTACAATTACCTATTCTAGTAGTTAGTTTGTTGTCAGTTTTTGTTAGTGTAGTTCATTAGTTCTTTTATCTGTTATAAAAAAAAAAAATTTCTCTCAGCCGCAGCCGCTTCTACCATGCCCGGCTCCACAGGCTTCAAGCGCTGCTCTATGTGTAAGGACGCTATCCCGCTCTCTGATGGCCACTCTCAATGTATAAAGTGTTTGGGGAAACCCACATTCCCCAAAAATGTGCCCACTGTAGCAAATTCAGTTCCAGGGCACGGAAGGACAGGGAGCTTAAACTAAAACTGCTCCTCCTGCAAAAGTCTATCGGGTCAGTTTCAGACCCAGGCACCGACTCCGGCTCTGCTGCCCGCCACAGCCCCCCTACAAATTAGCTTTTGAGCTACACAGAGCTCTTCCTGAGGTCTGGAAAAGGTACTCAAGAGTGTCACAGCTAAATACAAGGTCGAACAGATAGTTTAACATAAGTAGTTAGCATATATTCTATGGGACCATTCAAGGTGAAGTGACCCATTAACACCCCTGTAGTCACAGAACTACAAGAGGGGTTAGTGGGTTACAGATCGTTGTAATTAGTCATAAATCCAGTGCCTGGATTTAAGACCATGACTTTTAGCATCTAGCAAAGTTATGAATTTAAGCTCCCAGGCTTGTCTTTTGAAAGTGGTGTGCAGGTTTTCTGTGAGGATCAAAACTGATAGGTCAGATATAGAGTGATCACTTTGTTGAATGTGTTCAGCCATAGGTGATGTGGTATTGTTGTCTATTATTTTCCTGTGTGAGTTCATTCAAGTGCGTAGTGATTGTCTGCTTTCACCCACATAGTTATTGGGTCATTTAGTGCACTGGATGAGGTACCCCCCGAAGTTGTGATAGGCATGTGTAAGACCCACAGGTCTTGAAAGCTGTGTTGTGGGGGGGGTGTTGATCATTGTAGCAATGGAGATATGTCTGCAGGTTTTGCATCTGTTGTTCCGGCAGCTTCTGGTGCCACTTTGAGTTAGGCTGGGTCTACACTACCCGCCTGAATCGGCAGGTAGAAATCGACCTCTCGGGGATCGATTTATCGCGTCCCGTCAGGACGCGACAATCGATCCCCGGATCGACGCTCTTACTCCACCAGCGGAGGTGGGAGTAAGCGCCGTCGACGGGAAGCCGCAGAGGTCGATTTTGCTGCCGTCCCTACAGCAGAGTAAGTCGGCTGTGATACGTCCAATTCAGCTATGCTATTCGCTTAGCTGAATTTGTGTATCTTAAATCGACCCCCCCCCCCGTAGTGTAGATGTAGCCTTAGTGTGTCCTGATATGTGGGGAGCTTGCTTCTGTTGAGCTAGGAGAGGTTGCGGGGAGGTTGTCTGTAGGACAGAAAAGAGGGTTCAGGAAAGATTTCTTTCAGGGTTGAGTTCCCATCAAGTATGGGTTTTAGTTTGACAATAGCCGATATGGATTCCAGCGTGAGGTGGTAGGTGACAACGAGGGTATGTGGTCAGAGTGGGTTTTATTTCTGTATTTAAGCAGGCTCTCTTGGGGTATTTGGGTGGCCCATTCTATGATGCAATCTACTTCTCTGGGAGTGTCCTTGTTTGGTGAAGGCAGTTTTGAGTGTTTTAAGGTGTATATCCTGGACTTGCTCCTCAGACAATATTCTATGGTATGTGAGTGGCTGGCTGTAGATAAGAGTTCTTAGTGTGTTCGGGTTGGCTACTGGATCTATGAAGATAGGTGTCATGATCTGTGGGTTCCTTGTATATAGTTGTCTGTAGAGTGAAGCTGATTATGGTGTAAAGGAAGTTGATGCTAGTGTGGGACTGTTCCAGAGAGAGTTTGATGGATGGGTAGTTGTGGTGGAAATCTATGAGGGAGTTTAAGCCGTCTGTTCAGAGGATAAAAATATCATCAATGTATCTCAGGTATGTCATTGGTTCTGTGATGCATTTGTCCAGTGGTGCAGTCCTAGGACTACAAGGGTGATAATGGGCCACTTCACCTTCAATGGTCCCTTAGAAAATGTAATAACTACTTATGTTAAACTATCTGTTCAACCTTGTATTTAGCTGTGACACTCTGAGTACCTTTCCCAGACCTCAGAAAGAGCTCTGTGTAGCTCAAAAGCTTGTCTCTCTCACCAACACAAGTTGGTCCAATAAGGTATATTGCTTCATTCACTTCATTCATTGTCTCTCTAATATCCTGGGACTGACATGGCTACAGCAACCTGTATACAACACTGTTAGAGCAGTGATTCATCAGGTGGATCTGTCTATGGCTGTACTGACAATTGAGCCAGTTACTGTATCTCAGAACACGTCAGGTGTGTTACTACGACCAGTCAGGCTGACTGCTTCTCTGAGAGTCAGCCAAGAACTGAAAAGGGTCAGGAGCTCTCTGCTGCTGCATCCTACAAAACCCCTTTGGCATTCATGGAGAAGAACTTCTCTCCGCTCTCCTTTTCCAGGAGGTTGTTGTGTCCCATCTGAGCTGAAAATGGATTGGGGCCAGAAGAGGGAGGTGGATCACAGATCAGAATCAGGGAAAACTTCTTATTATCAGTTCAGTGCTGGCCTTCTGGATCCGCAGGCACAGAGAGATTTCCAACCAGATCCATCAGTAGGGTTTTGGCCTGGGTGGCATCTATCTCCTTGGTAAGGTGACCTCACTGGCTATTTCTGGCCCCTTATCAGGAAGGGCTGAGTTCAGATCTTCAGCAAGACAGTATCAGGAGGACATTCAGTTGTTATATCCAAAGGATAGGGTCCAACCAATGCAGCTTACTCAGAACAAGTCACCTATGGAAATAGGTGAATTATTCAGTGAGGAGGAACTGGAGCTGGGAGAGTCTGATTCAGAATTAAGGGATGTGCCTTCTCTGGATGAAAATGTGGGGACATCTCAGTATCATCACCATCTGAAGATGCTATAGCCTTTCATGAGTTAATATTGCGAATGTCAAAGATGTTAGATATTCCTTCTGTTTTTGTGGTGGAATCATTGCATCCTATCTTCAATGTCTTTGGGGCAGCGGCTAGTCAATGAGTCACACTTCTCTTGTTAGAGGGACTATTCAGTCTGGAATATTTCAGCCCATTCAGCCTCTATGTAAGAAGGAAGATAAATTATGTAATTCCCGCAAAGAAATACTGTGCTTCATGCTCATCTGCCTCTTAATTTGTTGATGGTCGAAGTGGTACTTCACAGTGGTACTTCACAGAAAAGGTGCCCAAGTTCACTTTACTCCATCAGATGAGGAAAGGAAGAGGCTGGATATATTAGGAAGAAAAATATTTTCTTCAGCTGCATTAAACATGCTCATGTCCAGCTACAAAGCTGTCGTGGCTGGGTACCAGTACCATTTCTGGAGCAAAATGTCCTCTTTTCTTAACTTTGTGTTCCTCTGGAAGTGCATTATCAAATGCTGTTTTGACTGAAGGACTGAATGTTGTCAAGCAACAGTTGAAAGCAGCTTTTGACTCCTCCGATACTTCAGCAAGGTCAGTAGCTTTGGCTGCCTCACTAAGAAGAGACACACTGTTAAGACCAATGGGATTCCCTCATGAGACACAAATGAGGATTGAGGACCATCCATTTGAAGGAGAAGGTCTGTTTATTATTCAGACTGATGAGGTATTAGAGAAGATGAAAAATGTAAGATCTTTT